ACCAAGTATACCTTTGATTATGGGTTACAAATAAATTTGATCCTGATGAAAAAAAAATCATATTTTTACAACGTTTTATTAGCTTTATTCAGGCGCCATCATGTTAGTACAGCTAAATGAAACGATAATTTCATAAAAAAAATCATGAAAATACTGAAACATAAAACCAGCAGTGGAAACTGAATTGATATCACTTGACTAATGGAGGTTAATGTACGCGCGAACGGTGAAAATAGAACGCTGGCCTTGAACTTGGGCACTGAGCGATTTATCACATATTGGTACGAAGGGGGCGCGACGGGGGAACAATCCGCCAGTATTACTGTGCTTGCATGCTATTGGTTCCCGCGCTTTGTTCGCTCCAAAAATACAGTCGCATACACAGCTTACTTTGCGACTCGCGACAATGTTTTAAAAAGGACGGAAAGAAAAATTATTTATATCTATTGTTTTATGACTAAACTAGTGAACGAAAAGGTAAATATGATAGGAGAAGGTGAATGGGGAAAATTGTGCAGTAAAGTTAAAAGTGTTGAGGAAGAATACCGAAAAAATTACCATCTGATCGACCTGATGACGGAAGCTCAAGCGAAGATGAAAGTGATGATGAAGTGCTACTTCCAGTGCCAGTGCCAGATGTTGATGGTGTGTTGGTGTTACTGGATGCTATCCAGTAACACCAACACACCATCAACATCTGGCTTCCATGTGACCCAAGACGTCATAATGGACGGCGTGTCACCCTTAGCGTAAGTTTTCTTGTTACAAACTACTTTATATTTTACGATAGAAATAACAAATAATGCTCAAGTAAACATTATCCATTTTTAATTCCCACCTCTTCCAAAGTTCTAAGTAGCTAGTAAATCACCAATTATGATTCTACAATAAAACAATTAATTACTATAATATTATAAAACAATAGCCTAATACCATGTAGTACTTTAGAACGCGACTGTACCCACACTCCCTCTGCTGTCGACCTGTATCTAGATCGGTACGAAACAATGCCGCGGTCATAAGAAAAAAGGGCGCATCTAACAATTTTTGAATAAATGAGTTAAATATACCATTCGACTCATGATAAGAAGGCGCATCTACTAATTTTTTTAATATTCACAAATATCAATATTTTAGAAATTATCGTAAGAATTTTAGACATAACTGTTGATCACAGATGACATTTTTTTAGTAGAAAAGACTTATACAAATTCAACATAAAAGAAAAGACTTATTTAACCAGTTGCTACGGCATCTTTAACAATATTTGCATCGATTACTTAAATTTCAATTATTCTTGTCTTATTATTCTATATCTTATTATTAAGAGCTGGTGTTTCACATGTGGTCCCATATAAATTTGATCGAGGTCAGACCAATAGTTTTTGAGTTATCCTTAATTATTTATATTAAAGTCGGTTGTACAAAATTTTTAATTTTTAATTATTATCGTAGTAAGTCTTGTATGATATCCCCTTTAAAATCATTACTCAAGAGTTGCGGGTTGTTATTTTTTGTGTCTCACTACCAATGCTTTTCTAATATTTACTAAGAAAAAAGTAGTAAATTACTATTAACGTCCTTTCAACTTCAAATGACCTTTCCAAAATATGTAAAAATGTTAAATGAATGGCAGTTTTTTTTATTTATTAGGTTGGGAAGACGCAAATAGTTATATGCGTCTTTCCTTCGATGTTTTTGTGTTGCCAGGTGTATTTTTTAATCTAAGATGAAAAGGAAAATTCGTTTTATTTAAATAAATAAACAAATTATCAAAAAATAAGTTCGTCCTTAAAATCTTCATGTCTCTACGTATATTTAAATTTTCATATAGATACCTTTTAATATACTTTAGACACGGGGTCTGAAAGAAAAATTCATCAATTTATTTTTTATTTCCATTTTACGTTTTTGTTAGTTGCGTCCTTCTTTATTATGACGGCAGAATGTAACCCGGCCGACTCGTGTCGCCTCACGCTGTGACGCAGTAGGTTTCAGTTTTGTCGGGGTTTGTTATAAATTGTAGTTTTTGAAACAGTTCCGTGTTGATTTTGTACACGCGTTCGCGAACGACAGCTCAATCGTTATTTATTAAATTGTTATTACTTGTGATTACGTGTCGATATTATTCTTGTTGTTACGTTTTTTGCTTTAATAATGCTTAACGCGTACGTTTATAGTGATTGTGAATACGGCAACATGTTATGTATCCGAACCTAGGTACACGAAGTATCGCTAAATAAATTGTTAAGACGTCGGGATGGAACAAGTGTGTTATACTGTGCAGTGCACAAAGTATTGAAGCGTAACCGAATGCACCCATACAAATTGCACAAAGCGCAAGCTTTAGTTCCCGGCGTTCACGACCACCGACGAGTTTTCTGCCGTTGGTTATTATACCAGCAACAACGTGTGCCTGGTTCCATTGAGCACATTATCTGGACGGATGAGTCGACATTTACCAGAAACGGCCTGAGGAACCGAAGAAATACACACGTGTATTCAGAGGTTAACCCGCACGCTGTTCGACAAACCGGACACCAAACCCGATGGTCGGTTAACGTATGGGCAGGTTTATTTAAGGATCGCATACTGGGACCAGTGTTTCTGTCAGAGCGACTGAACGGACAGCGAGACCTAAACTTTATAAATGAACAGTTGGTTGACATTTTAAACGACCTATCGTTGGCTGAATATCGCCGCACATGGTTCCAGCATGATGGTGCCCCTCCACATTTCGTGAGGTTCATCCGTGAGCGCCTCAATGAGCTATTTGATGATCGCTCGTTCGGTAGACTAAGACCACACGCTTGGCCACCTCGCTCACCAGATCTGACCCCGTTACACTTTTTTTGTGGGGTAGGTATGTGAAAGAAAGGGTTTTTAATCGTGAGTGTGATAGTGCTGACGAAATGCGCCAAAGGATCGTGGATGCTTTCGAGAAACTACGTACGGACTGTGTCGAAGACCACACGATGATGCCCCGCCTGCACCCAAATCTACCTTGAAATGAATGGAGCAAAATTTGAGCCGCATCTCATAAGACCACGGAGGATTTAGAGCGGTAAGCTGTTTCATAACTATTTTTTTTAAATAACTTAGTACTAGACTAATCTGAATAGGTACATAACTGAATACATGAGAATAATAAACATACCTACACGATGAATAAAAACGCATGACTCCAACCTTGGTTACATTTCATTTAAGTATTTTTTCAATAGCGGGGAATCGAACCAGTTATTTGGGTTATTTAACCTGTAAATTCGGATTAAAGAGGCTACGTGGAGACAAGCACAGTGGCAAAATAGTAGGTTAAGTAAATAAGTTACGTATTTAGACAAGTGTTGTAAATTATTAGTTATTGTGGTATGGCCCGCTAGTTGCGGGCCGCGCGAATTTGCGTTCGCGCGTCCATTGACCTTTAGTCAGGTGATATCAATTCAGTCATTCCACTGCTGGTTTTATGTTTCAGTATTTTCATGATATTTTTTATTAAATTATCGTTTCATTTAGCTGTACTAACATGATGGCGCGTGAATAAAGCTAATAAAACGTTGTAAAAAGATGATTTTTTTTTCATCAGGATCGAATTTATTTGTGACCCATGATCAAAGGTATACTTGGTGTTGTCGCCTGTCTTAGTTTTCGGGAGCGTTCCAAAAATACCCTGTATATTGGAATTAAAAATTTAAAATTTGATTCGGGCAAAAATTTATACTGAACGTTTTTAATTCTTTTGCTAATGAAATGAAATCTTTCCTTCCTATTTTATGGCTTAGGACTATTAATTAATAAAAGTTTTAAATCTGTCTCTAAATTCAATATACACGCGAAATTTTAAAAATTAGGCCACGGTCAGTAGGTTACGTAATCAATTCACAATAACTATTGAATTTACAAAAATTCGAAACAAAATTTTTACTTCCTCGAATATAAACATAATTCTTATTACTTAGGTACTACTTACGCGACGTGTCCAGCCGCGACGTCAAAGTTTGAAAATACTTGCATAGGAATTCGACCAGTTATCCATGTTAGGCTATTATGACTAAGGAGCAAAGTCGTATAAATAAAAAAAAAATGCTTTGAAGTTCAAAGTATTTTTCATTCACAAATACGATTGAGTTTCTTATTACTATTGTTATATGGATCATTTTCCTATGCAAGTAGTTTCATACTTGCAAGTATTTTTTGGTCGTAAAAAGGCGCCGTACTTTAAAGTGAAAACCTGGTATAGCGTAAATACGTCTCACTGCGACGCGAGGGACGTGTCCAGCCGTGGTGTCAAAATTTGAAAATACTTGCATAGGAAATTCACCTGTATTCCATGTTATCCTACTATAAATAAGGAGCAAAGTCGTATAAATAAAAAAAATGCTTTGAAGTTCAAAGTATTTTTCATTCACAAATACGATTGAGTTTCTTATTACTATTGTGATATGGATCATTTTCCTATGCAAGTATTTTCATACTTGCAAGTATTTTTTGGTCGTAAAAAGGCGCCGTACTTTAAAGTGAAAACCTGGTATAGCGTAAATACGTCTCATTGCGACGCGAGGGACGTGTCCAGCCGTGGTGTCAAAATTTGAAAATACTTGCATAGGAAATTCACCTGTATTCCATGTTATCCTACTATAAATAAGGAGCAAAGTCGTATAAATAAAAAAAATACTTTGGGAGTTCAAATTATTTTTGTTCACAAATACGATTGAGTTTCTTATTACTACGAGTATTGAGATGTGGATAATTTTCCTATGCAAGTATTTTCATACTTGCAAGTATTTTTTGCTCGTACCAGGGCGCCGTACTTGGAAATGAATACCTGGTTTTAAAACCTGGTAGCGTAAATGGGTAAGGCCGCCAAAAATTCCACTTATAACACAAATGCAACACAGGAACTTTTATGTTACGATAACACAAATGTAACACAAAAGTAACCCAATTGTTTTGTAAAACTTGTTTCATATGGTCTTCTAAGGTAATAAAAAAGAAGAAATGAAATAATAATAATACATACTGGTTTTATTTTAAATAAAAAAAGATAAAGTTATCCGACGAGAGAAAAACCAGCTAAACTAATAAGGGCCATTTTTTGAATAGTTGGATTAGTTTAAGAGAAAATTATTTTTTTCCTGCCAAGTAATTTTTTTAACAATCTAGATTTCTCAGAATCAACTTAAATCACTTTAACAAAATATCTATGTAAAGTATACATAATCAAATTCCTCTTTTAAAAAGTATTCTTTTGCTTCTCCTCGTGATGTTAAATTTACACATTTAACTATTGAATTAATTGGCACAATATCTATTTCTGGTTTTTTCAACATTATAAATTTTAAGTTGGGAATCTTTACAGTCTTGAGAAAGCGTATTTTATAAAAACTTTCGTTATCCTTATTTAAAACTTGTATAATAAATCCGATGTAATACTTCCATTGTTTTCTTTGGTAGTATCGGACTATAACACTAGCGTCAACTTCTAAGCCCATTACTTCTTGAGCATTTGCCTCTTTAAAATTAGTTTTTATATTTTTAGAATCATCTCCAGTTTCTTTTTCAATCGCGCTTGTCTTTTCAACTATCTTAATTTTGCAGTCATCTGGAGTTTTAGCCATTTGGTTTTCGTTTGTATGTGTCTCATTTTCATTAAAGTTATTCTGTATGTGATGTATCTGAATTGGTTGTTCGGTGTTTACTGGATATCCTATAATAAATTCACGGTCAGTATAATCAATTGTGCAAACTTCACTGCTTGTTTTAGAAGTGGATGGAATAGCATTGTTTTCTTTATTGGCATGGTTGATTTTTCTCTCTTCTGCAAAGAATATTTTACTCAAACGTAAATTTAAATGAGCCTTATTTTCTTCACTATGTTTTATTTCAGACAAAGGGGTAACTTTGTTGATATCTAATATTTCTGTCGTGTTGTATTCTTGCTGAACATCCTCCAGGTCTTTTGTTGGGGTTTTTTGATCAGTTTTCGTAACATATTGTGTTTCAACATAATTATTTGAAATTCGGAAGGGTTTTTGTATAATTACATTCGACAAAACATTAATTTTCTTCTTTGGATCAATGTATTTATGAAAGTGATTAGAACCTGATTTTGCATCAAAGTAGTCGACATGTGTAATCTCATCGAAATAATCCAGGTAAGTATTTCTAGAAACATCGGACAAGACATCCGATGCATCACTTTCAGCGAATTCAATGTCAGTATCCGATTCTGATGATAAGCTTAAACTCTTACGAATGAGGCGTTTCTTTTTTTGTAGATTATTTTTCGTGTTTTTATTCGTTACAATATTATTTATTCGTTTTAAATTACATTGTTTTTGAGTTTTATTAGAAATACTTTCCGCGAAGTCGTAGTAAATAGGAAAATGGCATTCGCAATTCCCACTAGCATTTTCGCAGAAACAACTAAGATCTCTATACTTGAGTTTGTACTTTCCGCAGGTAATCAATTGATGGATTTTCATCGTCCCCGGTAAAGATGTCAGGTTGTAGACTATTGATGGATCTAAAGACTTAATTGTTTCAGCCGGTACATAAAAGAACTTGATTGTAGTCTCTGTCGATGACAAAGCATCATATGCAGCCTGGGCGTCAGGAATATCTAATCCCTGAGCTGTTTTCATGTCAAGGGTTCGCTTAATAGCACCTCCCACACCATCGGCTGCACCTTTACCATGAGCTGCTTCGAAGAACGACCAGGTACTATGACTGAATCCATAATCATAAATGTTTTGCGTAAACAGATAAAATTTCTTCTTTTGCCTGTATTGAGTTGTGGGTCCGTCAGAGAAAAAATGGATGGTATTTACATTTGTATAGGTAGTCTTAATATAATTTAAAACGGGATCTAGGTGGGCCCATATAGATTCTGGGTTGTGTTGATTATCAAGCGAAATGGAACAGAACGATTCTGGGCTTTGGTCTTTTATATATAGTACACCCGTATGTAAAGTGATTTGATCTTTTACAAAATGTTTAGCTTGAACTTCTTGGTGAAATTTACAAATGTAATTTTCTGAAAAATCTATATGAATTATAGCCTCGTATTCTTTTAAGTTTTCTCTACATAACTTGTATTGGTTGTATTGATAATAAAAGTTGAAGACGTGCCTTTTGAATGCTTTAATTCCTTTGTTAAATATTTCAAGTAATTCTTTGAAAGTTCCTTCATTTAAAGTTTTCGTCATTTTTTTTGCCTTTTTTACGTTAACATCTTTGCCATACACATATTCCTTTAAGGTCCACTTAAACCATTTTACTTGTGTCTCTAGATCTTTATCACCACTATCAATTTCTCTTTCAGAACATTCAGCGCAATCAATTTTTTGTTTTAAAATCGCATACCAAGTCTGATACTACGTCATTTAAGTTATTACTTTGAATTAAACCAAATGATTTTAATTTGTCCGCCATAAACTGCATATTCGAGTGCTTTATGCATGCGCAGCTCTCACAATCTTTAATGTTAGGAGGTACAACAAAGGGCGATATTTTTTAAAAGTGCTAAAGCTCACTCTTCCTACTTCAGCAATATACTTTTTGTGTAAATTTTTAAGTGTGTCTAGTAGGTATCTTTTTTGGTATTTCACTTTATGCTGTGTTATGTACTCTTTCTTGCCCGCCGTTATTCGGCTGACGTCGTCTCTTTTATAAAATGATGCAATAAGTTCCTGTAACTGAAATCTCTTTTTCTGATATTCCCTGCGTTTTTTGTAACTGCATGTTTTTAAACCTAAAGAAGCCCTCATCTTTGTTGTCTGTTTATATTTTTTTTACAACGTCACTATTCACTATTCTCTTTAAAATATTCTTTTCAGTGTTGCTTGAATTTTTATATTCGCATTTAAAGGACTCTTTCAATAAATCATGTTCTATTAGTTTTTTCTTTATCTTTTCCTTCTTTGGTGTTTCTATATTTGGAATTACCGTATTTATATATTCACTGACTCTTTTAATTGGTGTCAATGCAGCAGTTTGACTAATTAAATTTGGTACATATACCTCGTCTGGTTCTGAAATCTTAATATTATCTACATTATTTTTTGTATCTTTGGAATTTTTTGCGTCTGCAGTCCTATTATCTTCAAGTTTCATTATTAAAGTTTCATGCATTTTCTTCATACTATCAATATTCTTATGTTGTTTTGGAACTTTCTTTTGTAGGTTTAGAAATCTATTCACTATAGTTTTTATTTTTCGTCGTAATTGAATATTTTCTTTTTTAAATTTATATTCAATTCGGCGTTGCAAATTATGTATAGTTTTTAAATCTGTGAAATTTTTTGTATTTTCTTTCGAACTTTGCGTCACCATTTGCGATGTTGATGGCATACTTTCTTTTTCTTTATTGCGGTTCTCTCTCCATTTTTGTCTCAATTGTTCTTTTTGCTCTTCACTATAATTTGCAGTTTTAGCTCTATACTGACGCAGTGTTCTTTCACAATTCCTTTTCTTTTGTTCCTTAAATTTTTCTGAATTTGATATCTTTAACTTTTCGCGATATTGTCTTTGTCTTTCTGCAGCACTCATCGGCATTATCTATAGAGAAACAAAATTATTGCTTTTTACTAATGCAAGAAAGGGGATGAAAGCTTCTTATTATTGTTCGAACCTCCTTGCAAACAAAAACACTTTCGTATAAAAAAAAAACTAAAAAAAACAGCCGAATACAAAGTGAAAAATAATTTTAGTTTCGGAAGTTGATGGCTTTGTTTCTTTAAAATTATTTTTTACTTCTAGTCGGTTTTTGTGAAAAAGTTTTTCATTTTTCACTTTTAGCTACCCACACGAATTCGTGTATCATCTAAATAGACAAGGTGGAATTAATATGTAATTGCAGCTAGTTACAAAAAAATCACTCAATCAAAGTTTATATATAACCACCGTGCAGGCTTCTTTTATCAAATGAATAAATAATCACGCAAATCGGCCCGCAAATCACGAAGTAATCAGTGTACATTATATAGAAGAAAAAAAAACTCGTCGTATACTGTCATAACCTCCTCTTTTTTAAAGTCACTTAAAAAGTATTGTTCAACAAGTTTTAATGTATAGTTTCTGCTCTAAAATGTGATCGATTCGCGGATATTTGGAATAACCATAAGAATTGTAATCAATTTGAAGCCTAATGAAAAGTTGTTCAGTGTCGTAAGCATCAACTTAGGTAGACAAACATACAAAGAAACTATTTAAGTACAATCTAAGTAATTTTTCAATATGTATGAACCTTTATATTTGTTTTGTGTTGCGTAACACAAAAGTTTATGTTATGATAACACAAAAGTATCTCAAAAGCAACAAAAATGCAACACAAAAGCTAAATTTTAAAACAGTTTTAGGTTATAATTTAGAAATTAAGTCAAATTTGACACTTATGCATGTTATTATGTAAATTGTAAGCGTGGGCGCATACAGAATTGGTTTAATAAACTTATAAATCAGTTACTTACCGGAAAATTGCTATTTAATTAACCACTGACGAAAACGTGACTCACTCTTTGACACTTCCTACAGACTACACTAGATGGTTGCCTTATTTCTTTTTTTTTCTGTTACGCAATACTGTGTTGCCATATCAATATTTCACCTTTACCTCAGCTTGTAGTAAGAAATAGGAGTCAAAATCCGTAACACAAAAATTTATAACACAAAAGCAAAAATTGTGACATCTTATCTAAAATATAATAAAACATGTAATAATTAAATATTTCCGCAACATAATCACATATGAAAGATGTTAAGAGTCTTATTTCTTACGATTAACGTTTAATTAATTTAATTTAAGAAAAAAATACCTCGTGATATAGAGTACTAAATTTTATATCAAAAAACAACACCGTATCTTTAGACCAACATTAGGAGTCCTTACTATTAAATGCATATATTTTTACGAACTTAAGTTAGTTAATATAGTTTTTTAATTTGGAACAGGTAGCTTATTAACTACATTGCAGATTTCCACCGTCAGAGAAGTTATAATGTTATAGTTTTCCTTGAAATCGATAAGGACATTTTGATATATTTTGCTTAAGACAAAAATGGTAATTTTGACGGCCTTACCCAAATACGTCTCATCTTTAGCTCTAGCTAGACCTAACCTCAATCGGAACGAATAAACTTCAACATATCATAACATAGTTCTAAGTTAAAAAACTAAAATTTCTTTCTACCTATGTGTTTATAAGTGTACCTTTATAAGTATTCTTAAAAATTGTTGCTGCAAATTCATTAATTACAAGAAATGGTACCTAAGTAATCAGTTTCTCATTATTCGAGTGCAAGTGTTTTAACTTAAATGTTATTGTTGTTAATGTTCATAAAGTATCTCATAGGTAGATATGTAGGTACCTATATTTTTTTTTGGAGGAGGGTGATTGAAGAGTAGTAAGCTTACTGACCTAACCTAAAATCTTAGATAAATTCACACAATGAAATCAAGTGTATCGTCGTGACCACACTGATTTTAATGCTCTTTAAAATTAAATAAGAGAGCAACCAACAGAATGAATATAGCGTGCATAAACCTAAAAATAATCTTGGTTAAAGTTTTTAAAAGCACCTACCGAAAACTTCGATGCAAACTATTGCGCGACACAAAAACATTAAGTACCTACCTAATAAAAATTCGTTTAGGGGCATAAACTTAAGGTCTTTATGGAAAATGCAGTGGACTGTAAAACTACCTATATTATTATGTTCTTATGTAAGTACTTATAACTCATATGTTTACAAAAGTTTGTTGTCTGATGTGGGGTGTGTAAGGAGACAGTTTCTTTTTGTATGGAGAATGGGCCCACCACAAGTTTTAGAGAACCTTAATGAAATGCATGTCAATTTATTTATTATAATCTATAGATTACAATAGTAATATTAGTTTTACCGTATCTAATCGGAATACTGAGTAATTGGCAAATATGTATCTTACTATAACCTAATAACAAACTAAAAGCTATTTTCTATTAGTTTTCACCGGTATTACAAGTTAAAATAGTGCACTGTTCAATAAATATTAGTATAAAACAAAGTTGTAGTTACATTCAGCATTTATAGGTACTTTAAAATTGATGGAAAATCTTGTTAGTAGTTCCGGCAAAATAATATAGTGCATGTCTGTGCATGAATATGGTATGGATACTATTTTTTACATGTATTGTTTGTGAGTGTTCATCCCAAATACTGTTTAAGTAATATGATTAAAGCCAAGATGAGTCAGGGATAATATTATGTACATTTATAATATTACCTACACATGCTATATAGTAATAAAGATGTTTTGAGCTGGTTGTATAAGGATAAAAACACAAGTTATAATGCATCTACATTTATAATAGTAAATCATAATTTCCAAAGTAGTCTATTAACAGTAGAACAAATAGACAGGCATGGTGTCAAAACTTTGTTTGAAAATATATTAACTGATTAGGTGATGTTAGATACCTCAAACATTTTTATCTGTTATTACACACTGATAAATAGTGAGGAAGTAAGATGTTATAAATTATTTATGGAAGGATAATAAAACACATGTATCAAAATATTATTTCTAAATATCATGATGATAACATGTCCATTTATGATATTGGCAGGAATTCGAAGAACATTTTCAATGATATGATAGAAGACTGTTGTCTTCAATATCCATACTCTTTTTTGTCTCTGCCTACGCTCTGCAAGCTTTTAGCCTGCAAAGCATACATATATGTTCTCAGCAATTGACCTGAAAAACTTAATTATTGTAAAGAGTGCCTATACTAAATATTAATTCTTATCAATATATTATTTTTTCTAAATTTATTTCATTCTATGTAGCTTGTGGAGACTATGTTTATATATGAATTGCATTTCAAATAGTATAATGCCAAAAAAACATGTCTATTTATGATACTGTTAGAAATTAAAAAGATAATTTCAATAATAAGAGATAAGACATTACAGATCCTTCAATGTCATATTATAGACTAGCTGTGCCCGCGGCGTAGCTCGCGTATATAGGTTTTACTTAAAGAATTTGACGTTTAGGTAAGAGAATATTAAAAGATTTATATCATTACTGTATGAATAAGTGGCACCAAAATAAATCGTTATGCTCAAAGTTCTGAGTCGTTTGTGATAGAACTTCTGTGTAAACGACGTTAGAAGTAGACAGCCGGGGCGTACAGAAAAATGTTACGGGAGCTACTAACGCGGGAAAAAGCAACATAGAGTTGGCCATGTGCAAAACAGTCAGTACTGAGGTCCACTCCTGCAACGCGTAAAGTTTGACCTTGCGCTTTAATTACGGTCATCGGTCATCGCATAACACACGCTGACTGGGAATGGGAAGTGGGAACAGAACACGCTTAGAACTGAAAGGAAAGTTATTTGATATAAGGTGGATTCTTGGTATAAAACAACATCATGACATATTGTTTTTGATGCAATTTTGCTACGTTTAGCTTGGGCGTACGTATCTTTTTTCTCATATCTGTTTTTGATGATGTTTGTGCTGTTAGCTTACACCCTACACGGCTCTTTCAGCTTGAATGGACTCGTTAACGTACAACGCCATCTATTACGTTCTTCGTGGAAGACATCCTTTTTTAATTTAAGGAAAACATATTTTTTGTTTACTGTGTTTAAAGTATAAATATATTATAATAAAACGTTTATTTATAAAAAGGAATCATTTTATTACTATTTCTGAGGTTTTATGGCGCCTTTAAACAAATCGAACCTACATTTCAAAATAATAATCAAAACTTTCGATAGAATTAACCAATTTTAATAAAACAAAGTTAATCTTTGAACTGGATGATACGCTTTATGATTTTCTAAACAATTTCTTTGAAAAAAAGATGTTTACTTAAGACGTGATGCGTTCATAAACAAACAGACAGACAGACAATTCTAAAAATTATAAAAATGTACTTATTTAATGAGTTTCAGTCCCCATAATGATTTTAGTCACAAATTAATATACTATACAATGTACAGAATCAGACACAGCATGTGATTACCGCATGTATAGAGATATAAGGATAGATGGCGCTGTTAAAATCAATTCTAAGAATAAAAGAGATTAATTGACGCGATTGATACAATAAAAAAACTTAAAAGAACTTATAAATCAGGCCTACATCGTAAGCAAGAAAGAAAGTTTGATCCTCGCCGAAACCAACGAAATTGTTAATAGCTCTTTTAAAATTTGATTTACCATGTAGAGTACTCGGCGGTAAAGAATAAATGACATTGTCAATACACAGTAGGGCAGCGAGTAATTTAAAGATTAACAGCAAATATGAAAAGTCATTTACAGAAAAAAAAACCACAACCTGCCTTTTTGCATGACATTTGTGCAACACCACCATCTATCGATGAAATGGGTTAACTATTGTACTTTAGATTTACATAATAAGGTTAATATATTTTTTAATATATTTATTACGTTCTTTATGCAATACTTTTGTTTACTGCGTTTTAGATATAATTTCATCATTATAAAACATTATTTTACATCATTTAATTATGTTATGATTTATAATATTATATTAGTTTAAAATGTACTTGATGACTCAACAAACGCCACCATTGAACAAATTCGTACCTATACTTTGTAGCCATACTTCAGAATATTTATCATAACTTTTGATGGAATGAACTAATTTTAATGAAATAAAGACTAAATGTAACCTGAAGATACACTTTATAAATTCTTTAACGATTCTTCTGATATAAATTGGTACTTTATACGTGATACGTTAACAAACAAACAGACAGACAGACAGACAGACAGACAGACAGAAAATTCTAAAAATGGTAGAAATGTATTTGATTACTTATTTTTAGTACCACTCAATCACTTTTATTAAATAAATCTAAAATGTACAGACATCGGCTATTTACATTTTTATTATATGTATAGACTATATTTCCATATTTCTGTCAGAATTTTGTTATGTATGCCTATATGTTAAATAAATAAGAAATTATTATAAAATATACACGATTAATTAGCTCCAGTTGATCAAATACAAAAATAGTAATTACGGATTTACAGCAACAATATTTGAGTATATAAAAGTTGTCTAACTTTTTATTTGCACTGGTTTCATGTAGGAGAAAAATATATAGTATTTTTCATGACAAAATAATATTCCTTTCTGCAGAGTTAACAACACAGCAGTATAAGCACAATAGAAGAATCTGATTCCGTCGCAGGATATGGTCCAAAGTTATATAATACATGCGATTTTTATTATAATCATAGAAACGCAGTCCAGTACAAAACACGAGCGTTAAAATGATGCAGTCATTATGTTAGTGGGCGCGAGTCGAATGTGCCTACGCTCGTCACACGCACAAATACACGCCATTCCGTGATACCAGTTTCTGGCGTTTGCAATCAAATTGTGCAAATCACTATTTTTTGATTAATTTTAAAAAATCGATATAATAAAGATTACGTATTACGAACGAAGATTATTTAGTAGAAGTATTTTATGAGAATATAAAATGGAATAAAATAAACACGATAATGATG